AGATCGAGACTCGTTCTTGGAAATCGAGACACGTTTTGAAAATCGAGACTCGTTTTGAAAATCGAGACTCGAAGACCAGTATCCTTGAGAGATCCAAATATTTTGGGACGTAGGATTTCGACACAACCTCGTGCTCGACTTGTTGCTCGATCATCCATTTAATCTACCTTCTTTTTGAACGATGAAAGCTGGTTTTCTTTTATGGTTTCCGAAGGAAACTTGTTATCTTAAATATGTCAGTAATAAATAGGACAAACGTGGTTGCAATTTTTGTGGAAAGTGCGGTGTGTTCACCTTTATATGAGGCCATGAAACAACACAAAATGAATACTTTTAATGCATCTTTTCGTGAATTACACAAATTCTTTTACTAAATGGTTTTCATTAGTATTAACAGAAGTTCTTTGTTGGGAATTTAACTACTTTAGTTCGCTATGCCAAAAATGCAAAAATATAATTTCAGTAAAGGTTATTGAAAATTTATCGACTGCTCAAATGATAGTCGTCATAAAGATCTCAAATGTTACATTTTATTATTGTTTTTACTGCATCTCGACTTGAAAAATGTGGAAAAACTGGTATGATATTTAAATGAATTTTCTTCATCTTGTTCGCCTAACAACAACTCCATTTTTACACTATTTTTGTGATATAATTCGACTCAAACTTTTCCCAAAAACTTCTAGAAATAGATATCGCAGAAAAAAAAGATTTGCTTGGTTTGCAAAGTATGTTTTTATGTTCGCATTGCAATAGCAAGAGCGATTATAGAAGCCATTTTTCTCTGTCCACATACATAATCTTATTTTTCACTTTATATTTTTATTCTTTTGATTCATATTATGCTCAAGGAACGTAGTTCATCCCGCGATGCTATGCTAAGTTGCTCAAGCAGAAAATGATAACAAAATAAAATAGAAATATCAATGGAAAAGAGTTGGATAAACTTTAAATAAACAAAAGATTGACAATCGAAACCACGAGACAGAATGACAGTGTAGCTTATCTAGTATAACTTATATGAATATCTTGGTGATACACATGTGTATAGACTAACGATATGGTATTATTTTTTCTTATCTCTATGCGATTAGCTGGGATTGTTTGATGGTTTTGTTGATCCCTATTTCATCCTTTTGCTGTCTGTCTCTATTTCCGTTCGCTTCTTTTCCTTTTTGCAGTTAGCTGTTTCCTCAACTTTTTTGTTTTGTTCGTTCGTTCGTTCGTTTTTCCTTCTTTCTTTTTCAGTTCCTTCCATCTTTCTTTCTTTTTCCTTTGTTTGTTTGTTTGTTTGTTTGTTT